CCAGTATTGTTCTACTACTGGTGACGCTTGACGTTCCTTGGCTTGGGTTGTCTGCCCGTGTAAACCAGGTCTAGATACCATCTCCTTTAGGTTTTGAAAACTTAGAAGAACAAGCCACAAGCAATAGGTATCCCTAGTAGGCTACGGTTTATTTGCATAATGTGTATTGGACTTAGCGGGATTCGGCACAAGGGCCGAGCCCGCCTAGGACATGTACCAATTTTTCAGACCAGCATATTCATTTTACTGTGCTATATGTAACATTATTTGGTAGGTTTTGCTCAAATATTGATCGGCTTTAGGATAGATTAATTGAAAATAGGAGAGAAAATTTCCTCCAAATTTTCATAAGATACTCGGGTTTTTTTAAAATAAAATTTTGAAGTGCTTTGGTGAGTAAAATCATAATTTGCAAAATGTTTTTTTTAACTTTTAACCGAACTACAGGGGTTTGGTTCTAGTGACATGATGAGATACGTAGACAACCTTCATTGAGTTCAACCCCATTTTTTTTTTAAAAAACAAAATCATTAAAAAAAGGTGTCTATGAATTATTTTGGAAAAAAAATAATAAAAATAAAAAATATAGCCACTTTGTTTAGTTTTATCTCTTTTGGCCAGTTTTGCCATTGCGCCCCATCCTTTTTGCCGAAATAGCCTTGAGACCTTCATCAGAAGTGCAAAATGGTCGTTTATACAAAAGAGGCCAATTTTTACATTTTTTTATGTTCATTTGTTTTTACAAAAATAGTCATTTTGAGTTTTTTATTTCATGATTATTTTACTTATTTAACCCCTATTATTGAGTCTCATAGTTTGGCTTTTTATTTTTTCTATAGCGTCAAAACCCGAGAAATCGAATTTTTTATGTGTCAATAATATATTTGGTTAAAGCCTAATCCCGCGTCTTACTAAACAGGTACACCATGAGTAGGGAAAGAGATAAGTTTGAAAAGAGGCCCAGATCAGAAAGGATACCGGAGTATCTGATAAAGCGAGAACTCGCTTTTTTGAAGTGAAGCGAAATTTTTATAAGAAAAAAAAACTGCATAGACAATACATGTAATTGTAAGCAAATGTTCATACTTCAATGTAAAAACTAAAGAGTAGCATCAATTAAAGCACAAAATGAGCATCCTATTCTTCTACAAGATTGTAAATGAAGAACCGAAGGGGGAAAATGAGCATTTCGCTGCAATTTATCACTGAAACAGTGAAAAAATGAAGAAGAAGAAGAAGAAGAAGAAGAAGAGGAGAATGAGAAAAAAAAAACTGAAGGGGAAAAAAGTCGCCTGCATTTCGCTGCTATTTGGACACTGAAACAGTGAAAGAAAAAGAAGAACAAGGAGGAGGAAGAAGAAATCACATACCTGGGACCAAACTTGATGATCTTGAAGTTGAAAAGTGTAGAAAACTTGAACCCTAGGTCACCTCTATTGTTGTTGCTCGATGGTCTTTTAAAAAAAGAGCTTTTTTACTTAGTTAACGTTGGCAGCCCAGTTATAAAAAGAAGCACTTGCTTCTGTAGCTTTGTTCATTTTAAGCGAGGAAGCTATCGCTTTTAACAACACTGACCACAGTTGTTGGATTGGTGGAGAGACTTTGAGGACTATGAGCAGCGACAAATAAATAAGTACCTGGGACATTTGGTTCACATGATTACGATTAAGCGTAGGAGGGATGTGATCGAAGCTTTGATTTCGCACGGGGATCCTGATAACAATGTATTCCGTTTTACCGACTCTGACCTGGGAGGAAATCGCTCATTTCCAGGGGTGGGGCCGCGATCTTCGCTGCCAAAGGCCTATAGTACCAAACAATGTGAATGAGGGTAGGTTTCTAAAGCTCTTGAACATAAATTACGGACGGTATGAAGGTTTAGGAGGCAAGTGGGTTAAGTTAAGGTTTCTGTTTCACTTGTATGGCCTAGAATGCAATTTCAAAAGGAATGTGGGAAGATTAAAATCAAAGGAAGATAAGGAAGGTACACAGAAGGTTCGCATTTATGGTGCTTTTTTGGGGCGTGTAGTTTTCCCTTAAGGACACATTGATATCCACTTGGCAGACGTAGTTCAAGATCTGACCTCAGACATGGATGATTATACTTTGGTCCCTATGATTCTTTCTTGCATTTTTCGTGCTTTAACTAGGTGTAGATTGGGCGCACAAGACTTTGATGGCTGCAACATTTTGTTACAGATATGGTTTTTAGAGTATTTCTATCGTCATCCCACGATCACCGACTTTAGTGAGCTATGGCCCAATCATACTGATGATCACTAGAAAAGAATTGACGACTGTGACTTACCAAAAGGGATTGATGCCCGAAAAGAACTACTTCTTACCCTGTCCGCCAAGCGAATCACTTGGAACTACCATTGGTTTTCATCTAAGGAGGTCATTTGTGAATCTGCATACCATTCTTTTTTGGGTACTCATAGGGTTAGATGGTGTTCAGCCCCTATGCTCATTTTCGGGTAATGCGTCGATTTGCACAACTACAGGAGGTACCACCAACACGAGATATGAGCAAGGTCTGTAATAATTTTGGTGAAGAGCAGCCTCATGACGAAGAAGAAATTATGAAAATTTGGTATGCAAGTAAGGTCTCGGAGTTGAATGAGATGGTAGAAGGCCGGGATCGTGGAAAAGGTGGTCCCTGAATATATTACCTGGTTTCATGACCCCATTGTTTAGAGATAGGCCTGAGGGGTCCAACAGGAGGAGAAATGATCAAAGAACTATACAAAGTCTAAAGGAGGAATTAGAGCATGCCCGGATAACCATAGCCCAACAGCAAGCTGGAGTCGCTCAGATTCGCTTGAATATAGAGAAAGATTATCAATCTACCTTAGGCGTCATGGATAAAGATCTAAAGCATGCTAAAAACGAGGTGGTCCGGTTAGAAGAAGAATTGGCAGACACGATTGGTTTAGTCAGACGAGTTGAGGTAAACAAAAATGTTGAAATACAAAAACTTCAAGAAGACTTGAGTATCGTTGACGCACCAGCAACAATTGGAGTTTGATTAGCATAAAGAGCAGTTTGAAAGAGAAAGGGCCCATCGAATACGCTCAAAAGGTCGGCTTCACACACAATTGGAAGAAATGAAAAAGCAGAACAAGGCTCATCTCCATGCGGATTTTGAGGCAGAGCGGCACCAGTGGATGATTGAGAAAGGTGTGCTACATTGTTGTATTGAAGAATACGAGGGACATGAGGCTCAGATGGGACACGCCCTCAACACTAGATATGGTTGTAGAATTGTCACATGAATATGGGCACGCCAGAGAGCAAGTACTTCGATTGGCGGAGAAAGCGGCATATATTCATGATGATGATCATCATCTAAACAATGAGAAATTTGGTCAACCGGCACGCGCCCTCATTCCACAGTTGCTGGCAGTGTTCCAGAATTTGTACGAGACTTTGGGGGGAGAGTGGAGGCCAAGGTCTCCTGAAGCAGACCATTGATGATATCTGTTTAGCAGGAAGACTATTGAAGATTAAAGTTTTAGTTCAGTCAATTAGTTTTTAGTTTCATTTTCATTTGTCCATTTTTAATTTTATATTTGGAGTCTTTTATTCCTATCAGAGTTTGTCTTATTCCAGTCATATTTATGTCCTTGGAGTCAATTTAGTCAGTTTCTATATATTTTCCTTTTCTATCATCGTATTTAGAAAAAAATTGAAAAAGAATGAAAAGTTTTTTTATACTTAGCATTATCAGATTGAGATGAGGAAAGGCTATTTCAATTTTTTTCTAAATACAATGATAGAAAAGGAAAATATGTAGAAACTGACTCAACTGACTCCAAAGACATAAATATGACAGGAATAAGACAAACTCTGATAGGAATAAAAGACTCCAAATAAAAAATTAGAAATGTGACAAATGAAAATGAAGCAAAAAACTAATTGACTGCACTAAAGCTTTAATCCTCAACCTAGTCTTCCTGCTAAACAGATATCATCAATGGCCTGCTTCAGAAGACCTTGGCCTCCACTCTCTCTCCAAAGTCTCGTACAAATTCTGGAACACTGCCGGCAACTGTGGAACGAGGGCACATGCCTATTGACCAACTTTCTCATTGTTTAGATGATGATGATCATCGTGAATATATGTCGCTTTCTCCGTCAATCGAAGTACTTGCTCTCTGGCTTGCCCCATATTCACGTGACAATGCAACCATATCCAAGTAATGTTGAGGGCATGCCCCATCTGAGCCTCACGTCCCTCGTATTCTTCAATACAACAGTTTAGCACATCTCTCTCAATCATCCACTGGCGTCGCTCTGCCGCAAAATCTGCATGCTAATGAGCCGAGTTTTGCCTTTTCATCTCTTCCAATTGTGCGTGAAGCTGACCTCTTGAGCGTATCCAATGGGCCTTTTCTCTTTCAAACTGGTCTTTCTGCTGATCAAACTCCAATTGTTGCTGGTGCGTGTCTTCTTCAACGATACCCAAGTCTTCTTGCAGTTTATGTATTTCAGCATTTTTGTTTCCCTCAACTGCTCTGACTAAACCAATCGTATCTACCAATTCTTCTTCTAACCGGGCCACCTCATTTTTAGCATGCTTTAGATCTTTATCCATGACCCGTAAGGCAGATTGATAATCTTTCTCAATATTCAAGTGAATCTAAGCGACTCCGGCTTGTTGCTGGGCTTGCTGTTGGGCTATGGTCATTCGGGCATGCTCCAATTCCTCCTTTAGCCTTTTTATAGTTCTTTGATCATTTCTTCTCCTGTTGGATCCCTCCGCCTATCTCTAAACGATGAAGGGTCATGAAACCAGGTAATATATTCAGGGACCACCTTTTCCACGATCCCGGTCTTCTACCATCTCATTCAACTCTGAGACCTTACTTGCATACCAAATTTACATAATTTCTTCATCGTCATGCGGCTGCTCTTCACCAAAATCATAATAGAACTTGCTCATATCTCGTGTTGGTGGTACCTCCTGTAGTCGTGCAAATCGACGCATTACCCGAAAAGGAGCATAGAGGCTGAACACCATCTAAACCTATGAGTACCCAAAAAGAATGGTATGCAGACTCACAAATGATCTCTTTAGAAGAAAATCAATGGTAGTTCCAAGCGACTCGCTTGGCGAACAGAGTAAAAAGTAGTTCTTTCCGGACGTCAATCCCTTTTGGTAAGTCACAATCGTCAATTCTTTTCTGGTGATGATCCGTATGATTGGGCCATAGCTCACTAAAGTTAATGATCGTAGGATGACGATAGAAATGCTCCAAAAACCATATCTGTAACAAAATATTGCAGCCATCAAAGTTTCGTGTGCCCAATCTACACCTAGTTAAAGCACGAAAAATGCAAGAAAGAATCATAGGGACCAAAGTATAATCATCCCCTTTTGAGGTCAGAGCCTGAACTACGCCTGCCAAGCGGATATCAATGCGTCCTTCCTTTTCCGGGAAAACTACACGTCCCAAAAAAGCAACCATAAATGCGAACCTTCTGTGTACCTTTCATGTTTCCTTATCTTCCTTTGATTTCAATCTTCTCACATTCCTTTCAAAATTGCATTCTAGGCCATACAAGTGAAACAAAAACCTCAACTTAACCCACTTGCCTCCTAAACCTTCATACCATCCATAATTCTTCAGAAACCTACCCTCATTCACATGGTATTGTACTATAGGTTTTTGGCGGCGAAGATTGCAGCCCCTCACCCTAGAAATGGACGATTTCCTCCAAGGTTGGAATCATTTCACAGTAAATAAAACGGAATACATTGTTCTCAGGGTCCCAGTGCGAAATCAAAGCTTTGATCACATCCCTTCTTGGCTTAATTGTAATCATGTGAACCAAATGTCTCAGGTACTTCTTTATTTGTCGCTGCTCATAGTCCTCAGTGTCTCTCTTCCAATCCCACAACTTTGGTATATGATCGACAATCAGAAAATTCGGTATCCCTTCTGATCTGGGCCTCTTTTCAGACTTACCTCTTTTCCTACTCATAGTGTACCTGTTTAGCAAGATGCGGGGTTAGGCTTCAGCCAAATATATTATTGGCACATAAAAATTCCGAATTCTCGGATTTTGACTCTAGAAAAAATAAAAACACCAAACTATGGGACTCAAAAATAGGGGTTAAATTAGTAAAATAACCATGAGATAAAAAATAAACACTCAAAATGACTATTTTTTGTAAAAACAAGTGAATGTAAAAAAATGAAAAAATTGGCGTCTTTTGATAAAACGACCATTTCGCACTTCCGAGGAAAGTTTTCAATGCTATTTCGGAAAAAAGGATGGGACGCAAGGGCAAAACTAGCCAGAAGAGATTAAACTGAACAAAGTGACTATATTTTTTATTATTATTATTATTTTTAAAAATAATTCATACACATCTTTTTTTTAATGGTTTTTTTTGTTTTTGTTTTTTTTTAAAAAGGGATTGAACCCGATGAAGATTGCCTACGTATCTCACCACGTGGCGAGAATCAAAGTCGCGTAATTCGGTTAAAAAATTTTAGAAATTTTTTTTGAAAATCATGATTTTATACACCAGAGTACTTCAAAATTTTATTTAAAAAAAGGGGTATTTCATGAAAACTTGGGCAAAGCCTACCAAATATTGTTACATATAACACAGAAAAATGAACATGTTGGTCTGAAAAATTGGTACCTGTCCTAGACGGGCCCGACCTCTATGCCGAGTCCCGCTAAGTCCAATGCACATGATGCAAATAAAGCGTAGCCTACTAGGGATATCTGTTGCTTGTGGCTTGTTCTTCTAAGTTTTCAAATCCTAAAAGAGATGGTATCTAGACCTGGCTAGCCGAGGAGCGTCAAAAGTCACCAGTAGTAAAGCAGCACTGGCTAGCTAACGACTCTCCCGCCTAAAACATATGACTAAATCCTTCACCCGAAGCTGGTAGGCTAATTGGCTTTATCTCAAGACAGAAAGTTTGTAATGTTGGTAGGCAAACATAACATAGCTACCTATCAAAAGACTTAGAGGGGTTCAAGAGAGGATACAATTTATATCACAGTTCAAATAAATATTAAAGCGATAAATAGCGTGGTAGGCTCCCAAACACAATAATATCCAAAACATGATAAAAGTCAAACAAGAACCAATGTAAAAAGCTTGAATTCTAATTAATTATCCCCAGAGGAGTGGCTAGAGCCGTCACACATCTTCTTCCCACAACCCTATTACGAGATTGAGTTAGAGGAGTTTTTTCCAATTAAAGTGACGTTTTGAAAAGGGATTGGTTATTATTTAGTCGCCACTTGTAATTGAGTTTTGGTGTTCCAAGTCACCATCTATTTGAATCTCTCATCAAATGGAAGGTTTGACTCCTAATTTATGGTCTACGAAAACATAGGAGTGAGTAAGGAATTTTGTTGACTGAGGGGAAGGTGTAAGGCACTCCTCGAGTCCCGTGGTTCTAGCACGATCGACTTTATTACCTAATTTAAGGCTTATTAAGCCTTACATTAGTCAATAAAAGTGATTGTGCTAGAACCACGATACTCAATGAGTGCCTTACACCTTCCCCTTGGTCAAGAGAATTCCTTACTCAGTCTTCTATTTTCGTAGACCATAAATTAGGAGTCAAACCTTCCATTTGATGAGGGATTCAAATAAAAAGTTCCTTGGAACACCAAAACTCAATTCCAAGTGGCAACTCTAAATAATAAACAATCTCTTTTCAAAACATCACTTGAATTGGAAAAACTTCTCTAACTCAATCTTGTAACAGGGTTGTGGGAAGAAGAGGTGTGACACAAATCACTAACAAAACTAAAGACTTCAAGCAAACTAAACCTTAACCTTAACTAATTGGCATCACCTATATTGATCTTTTTCTCCTATTGTGCCCTATGTTGCTCGGACTCTTCGAAAATGTGGCAGGATATGTGTCGGATCCTCCAATAGTAGTGCATTTTTGAAGGATCCGACACGGGTGCGGCTACATTTTGGAGAGTCCGCGCAACATAGATTGTGCCCTATTTGGTTTTATGTTTACATGGATTCCAAGAGATTGTCGGTCTTATGAGACAACTTCATTCCACGTGATTAAATGTCTTTTTTTCCTTTTTTAACACTTTCAAACACCATGGTTTCACACCTATGAACCAATGTGTTTGGAAGTAGATGTAGAACATGACCAATCTCAAGCGACCTTTTCTTAATTTATCCTCTATGTGGTGCTACTTGCACCTTCAGCTGAATGTGATAATTTCTAATCTTGAATGACCTACATCCATCTTAACTTTCATATTTCTACGACACTCATCCTGTGGATATCCCGTGGATATTCTCGAAATTACAACACCTAATTAATCTTAAAACTGCTATTGCAAAATTGGCATTATAGTAGGGCATCCAGGAATTTAGAGCAACGCTTACTACTTGACTTTTTTCTCTAATCACATTTTATCTTTTAGCTTTGTTTGTTGGTCAGAGACAACTTTTGAAATTAGAAATGATCACACTTAGTTGAGTGACAAAATTGGAAAATGATACTTCCAAAAGTTGGAGAAAAGGGAATTTACATTTTAAGCCAAGTCCGAAGTAAAAATGGATTCTCAACCTCAGAACTCATAGGGAGAGATAGGCATGCCCTTTTTTTCGCAAACGAGCCAATGAGCAGAGCACATTTAGCTCAATATTGGACAAGCATTATAAAAGTTAAACCAAAATTTATTTCTTGTCTATGGGAGATCTGATTTGTGTGTGGGATATGGGAGGGAGTTTCCTTTGATTCATTGACTTTCATAGTGACGGCAGAGTTTTCTGAGAAATAACTTACCTTAAGTCTGCCTTCTCCACTAACTGATATGATATCTCCGGTCTTAATGGTAGTATTGCTTTTTATCACAGTTGTCCAATTGACACGAACATCTCCATTACTGAAAGGCCACCAAGATAAGATTGAGATAATATCAACTTAGGCAACAAAGTATTTGGCCAAATACATCTGCATGGTCTAAGCAGTAAACATATAGAAATTGTTACCAAATCAACATATTATCCACATCCTTAGTGATTCATTCAATTTGGAGGCTACAGCAGCAAACAACCTCAAAATACCACCCCTCTGCTCCCACCCAACAACCCCGCCAAGCTTAGATACTACACAGAAATTGCAACCTTATAAAATCCTGGATCCCTAGTAGGTTAGTTTGAGAAAATCTAGAAGCCTGCAATAACCACCTCTCCCCAGCTGGGGATATAAACGCTATTTAGACAAGTGACAATCAAGCACAAAACTAAAACCCTCTCGCCAGTAGTGTCAGTTCAGTGCTGGTTTTCCTTTTCAGCTTTTCCTTTTGATTTCTTTTTAGGAAGTGATTAACAAACTTCCATCAAGAAGTTACTTATTCATCTGACCTGTTACCACTATAATAAATGAATCAATTTTTTTTCTTTGGTTGAGTTTCCTTTCCTTAAACAGATAATGAATCACTGCACAGCGACCATCTAGTTCTACAAGAAAGAAATCCTTTCTTACAGACAACTCAAGTAAATACATCATAAATAAAAAGAAACTCTTCATTTTCATGCTTATGAATGGAAATATAAATTCTTAGTAACCCTTTGAGAACTTAGATTTACTGTTAAGAAACAAGGGAGAATGTGCATCACTGCAGGATGATTCCCTTATGTCAATAGCCATAAATGCCGAACCTAGGAAAGATTATGGGTTGTAGTTCTTTTAAGTTACCTCGCTCTTTCACAGGTGAAAATCAAAACGAAATCTGTTGGTTATAGCGTTAAAAAACCCAAAAAGTGCAGGAAACAATGAGAAGGTGAAGAAATTTCATGGAAGAAGCCCATTTGAATACCATATATCGAATTTCAAGGTTATACTGTATCGAAAGGACAGCTTATCTGCAAATCTATGACAATTGATTATGGATCACACGTGAATCATTATCATAAATTCAGGCAATAGTCATTTTAATTATTCATATACGATGACTTAATGTAAGATCAGTTATGTCGTCATTCACCGTGCCAAGCACGCAACAAGCAATATATTTTGGAAAGAAAAAAATATATGAAAGGAGATTACCTAATCAAACTGGCCATTTTGGTTCGTGACACTTTGAATCCTGCACTAGCTACGGCATCAAGTCTCAGTGATGCCTCAACGGATTTTAAGGACTTGGTCCTAGAAAGAGTAAAACAAAAACGAAATTTCCTAAATCATAACATTCTGCGCGTGAAGAGAAGAAACCAAAGAAACAATTACTGTAACATCTTCTACCTTGGTGGTTCATATTCAAGGGCTAGCAATGGAATCTTCTTGCAAGAGACAGAAACATTTCCAACCTACAAAAATTAAGTGGAAAGCTTTACAACTTAATCACACCAGTACATTTTTAAAGCTAGAATTTTTTTGCTCCTTTTGGATTTTTCCAAAAAAGATGTTCTATGCAGAAAATTCATATACTTAATCACTGTCCAAATCAATGTAATATCATGTAATAATAGTAGATGTTGGTGGTGAGTACAGTAGTTGTCGATAGTCACAAATAATGTAGAAAATTTCAGTGTTAGTTGGCTGGTAGAAGCAAGTGGTGTGAAGCAGGGACAAAAAAAAAAGTTATAATGGAAAATCACATAGATGCATAAAGGAAAGAAGTTATTTTCTTTCATTTGGTGCAGAGCATTTTGTAATTCAAAGATAATAAGGCTCCTGAAAATACAACAAGACTTAAAAGAAAAAAAGTTGTACTTACTACATAGCAAAGTAATCAAGCATCTTGCAGCATGACTTTCCCAACCTAACCCACACCCATGAAAGAGTACCAAGAGTAAGTATTTTCCATTGTCCAGCCAATTCCAGCTTAGGGAAACTTACAGGTTAAGGGATCCAACTACCAATAGCATTATGCAAATGACAAGACAGATGCGCTCAAGAATGCAGAGACTAAAGTACTCTGATGACGAATGGAGAACAATATACTAAAGTACTTTGATGATGAGAGGAGAAAAGGATACTGCAAGTGGAAGCAATATGTAAAGTATCCTTACCTTGTCCAATGCTGATAAAATGAAGTCAGAAAGTTCTGGAACAACAAGAACATGAGCTCCCTTTTCACCCTAAACATCACAAAGAGATGTTCAAGACAACCTAATACTTAGTCAAATGGGAAGTGGAATATGTTACAACAGTTACATAAATACACACACAAGACCAACATCATGATCTAGAGGCTTTTGATTGGTCAGAAATGTCAAAGAAAGTAAAGAATAAAATATAACTTCATAAGAAAAATTCAAAAACTTTAGATAATCCAACGTGACAATTTGATATTGCCAGAAAATTTTATCTAGTGATATTAGTTTGAAATTGTGAATCAGCAGTCTTTAAAGAAGTTCAACCAACTGTTCTGTTTTAGGAATCGGTTTACTTTTAGAGAGTAGGCCAGCAGGATACTTTGTCGTGCTCTGTTTCTCTGTATCTAAGCTAACTTAGTAGTACGTTCTTGGTATAAAAGGGAGATTTCAAATCTATCTTGGATGTTGCTTCACCCATCAAGCTTTGTGCTACTTCTGCATCTTATAATAGATGTTTGAATCACCACTTCCACATTAAATTGAGGACTCATTGGGAGATCAAGTCTTGAGCTACAACTTTTCTTCATAACCAAGCACTAGCTCCACATTTAAGTTTTAACTCATCTTTTATTACATAATAAATCAGCTGCATAAAAAGGTGGATCCTCTCTTTGGTGATGCCCACAACTAAATTCCCAGGAGCCCTCCAGTTGATAAAAAAAAATTCACTCTCCGTCACTCCTATCATTCTTTTAGATATTTATTCTGTATCCAAATAAATGATGACTCAATTTGGTGTTGCGGAAACTTGAAAGAGAGAGAGAGAGAGAGAACCTCCAAAAAATAAATAAAGAAGATACCTGCAAGAGTATATCTCCCAGCTTATTCCTTACTATCCCCGTACCAAGGATTGCACCAAGGAAATCACCGTGAGAACAAGGTTGAAATGAAAAGTTCCCTGAAATACTGGAAAAGGGATCTCTTTTACAATGATAAAGAGAAATTATGATTGGTTGATTTAAACATAAGACATAACTGAACAAACCACAGGAGGACCTACCTCAAGGCTGAGACAATATCTGGATCACTTGTTAATGCATCTGGATGTCCAACTGAGAGACGGCAACATTCAGCCTATGTATAACAACAAAAAATATAAACTCAAGCAGCTTTATTGCTCAAACAAGTTTTATAGAAAACATTTTGTCGTACCTCTGGGTATCCTCCTTGTGCAACGATCTTAACGTCGGCTAACCTTTCTAAGACTAGCATTGACTCTTTCAGAACAGGTGGGGTCAGAAAGTCAGTATGTAAAACTTCTCGTCTCAATGATGCCCGTTTCGCCTGAGAAGTCGACAAGTGATTATCAAGAACTATCCCTTCATTAAGAACTTCGAAACTCTTCAAAAATCACTCCAATCAGTTTAGGTTTAAGACCTAGAACAATGCTTTGGCTCTTTTTCTGCAACAGGGACCAAAGAGAAAAACCTAGACATGACTTTGCAAATGCTAATTGAGAGAAGATTGATTGGTCCGACAGATGTATATGTACCAGTTCAACAATACGTTTCACATCTTCAATGGTGTTCTTGTCTCCCAATCCTTTCAGTAAAACATCTGTATCACCCTTAATAGCCTGTGGTAGGTCGCATATTCCAAAAGCTGTTTCGACAGAGTTTCAACAAACATGTGGGTCATCAGCTATTACAATTTTATAACTAAAAGTAGAAAGTTTAGGCCAATAGATATTCTGAAGGAATCTTCCAATCCTACAACACTTACTAAGATGCTAGAAATCAGCAAATTTATCCAAATAGCCCTTAAGCTATTACACATCGTTTTGTTTAATTTTTAAGGGGGAGTTGAGGCAGACAAATGGATAAAAGAAAAGGTGATCAAAGTAGTCCTTAGACATTTCCACTTGGTCTTATTTGATCATTATAACTTCAAAACGACTGATATGGTCCTAATACTACTCTGCAAGTGACCAAATTGACCCAGCCAATAATCACCCAAAAAACTAACGGTCTACTGATCTTGTAAAACACACATGAACAGCCAAAAAGAATGTACTCATTCCAAAAAATGGAATTTTCTCGTTCTTAGCTTGATTATACCCAAGGCACCTCATCTTGTGGAACTACAAGTTAGAGACTAGGTGAAAACCAATAAGCACTTAGCAGGCACAATTCTATTCTGCAGAAGCCAATCGAGCATTCACCTTTGCACTAGTAACTTGCAGTGAAATTTCAACTTTTAACAGAAGGAATGATTAAGGATAGTTAAAGTAGAATGTTTAGGTTAATAGATATTGTTTGATAAATGCCTCAGCATAACTCTTCCAATCCTACACCATTTACTCATATGCTAGAAATCAACAAAGTTATCCAAATAGTCATTAAAAGAAATCAGCTTAGAGGCCGTTTGGTCAAGTTTTTTTCCGAAAAAAGTACTTATTTGGAAATATGAGGTGTTTGGCCAAAACAGAGAAGTGCTTTTGACCAGCAGCAGAAGCAGTTTTTCTGCTTTAGGGAAGAAGCTACAAATTCTAGCTTCTTCCAAGAAGCAAATGCAGAAAATTAATTTTATTAAGACAAAATATCCTTATCATAAATTTATATTTCCTAAATTATCCTTCATTATTTTAACCTTTACTTCTTTTTTTCTGCCATTCTTTTCTTCTTCTTTTTATTTTAGCGTATGTTTATTCTTCTTCTCTTACGCCTATTTAGAGTAATCTCTCTACTATAAATAGATCTTTTCTTTTCTCTTCTGCCTTTTTTCTTTTTCCCGTCTCCTATTATTCTCTGAAATAACAACGCTAATCACCAGATTCAAGTAATCTTCAAAAGATATGTTTTTTCTTTCGTAGTATATCAACATTATATAATCTCCATTATGTAGTATTATTTATATTTCTTTTTGCCGTGCATGCATATAATACAGTTGACATAATGAAATACTACCTAATTCGTCGTTTTCTCAAGAAAAGAGAGCGCTTTTCTTACATGTAACATGTAAGCACATATCTTCCTACCAATATTGCTTTTATATACTTATATTTTATATTGATTAAGAATTTCAATATATATATTTTATGTTTTATACTTTAATTAAATAAAGATAAAAAATAATTAAATTCTTTTATAATAAAGATTTAAAATTTCTCTTTTTTAGATAATGTTAATTGTAAACTAAACCTTTACTGCCCTTTTTTCGTAATTTGACACTCAAAAATACTTTTTGAAAGATTGGCCAAACACAATTTATTTATCAAATATCTCAAAAAGTACTTCGCAAATGAATTGGCCAAACACAAACTACTAATCTCCAAAAGTACTTTTTCGAAAAGCACTTTTAAATAAAAGTACTTTTCAAAATAATTAGTTTTTGGTAGCTTGGTCAAACGGGCTCTTAATGTTGTAGCTTGGATAGTTTCGTTTGATCTTTATGTGGGAGTTGAGGCAGACAAATATATGGATAAAAGAAAAGGTGACAAAATAGTCTTTAGACATTTAGACGTGGTCTTATTTGATCATTATTATTTCAAGGTAATTTTCATGGTCCTGGTCCTTGTCCTAGTCTGAATTGACAACATTGGCTCAGCCAATAATACATTTAGAAAAAAACTAACTGCCTATTGATCTTTTGAAATGCACATGAACGACCAAAACTCAGTCAAAATATGCAATTTTCTCACTCTTACTTGATTATATACCCAAGGCACTTGTCATCTTGTGGGAGTACAAGTTATAGACTAGGTGTGAACAAATCAGCACTTAGCACACACAGTTCAATTCTGCATAATACAATCCAGCATTCACCTTTGTACTGGTAACTTGCAGTGAAGTTTCAGCTTTTCAAATAAAGGCATGATTGATGAGGATAGTTAATACAAAGTTTGAATCAGATATCCTCATTTACACAAGACTTGTTTATATGTTGTATTAATGGGCCATTCACTCATTTGGAAGGTGCAAAGCAATTGTTTGATAAAATGCCTCAGGATGATGTTGTAGATTGATGTTGGACTTCTCAAAATGATAAGCCTAGTCAAGGCTATTAATTTCAAGCATATGCAATTTCAATTGCATGCTACTTGAAAAATAGTATACAATTGTGTTATAGATGAGTTAATCAAATCTCCCGCCATTTCATTTTATGTGACGGTATTTGATTGGATACGAAGTCTGATATGTTAATCTGACTTATACAATATAGTGATGAATGAAGAGGATATTAGAGTATTGTTGAAAAGAGAGCAAACATCACATCAACCTTAAAGTGTAGATAGTTTAATGAATTTAAATTCTTGATAATTATGAAAGTTATATAGAAAAAGAATTATTTCAAACATTTTCTACGTCTCAAACAGGAAGAGTGTGACATTATGTAAAGCTTCGTAAAAAGTTCGTAAGGATCTAAGACTTTATCGTACGCCAACAACGATTTGAGATAAAGTTTTGCGCCCCAAGGCTAACCGCGGATGAGGAAAATATTATACGGGCATGGTATGAAGTGTATTACGATATTTGAAAATAAGTAGCTTGAGCGGAAGATCACAAAAAGAGACAAGAAAATTTTAAGGCAATGCTGCAGCATCAAGAATCGCCGCAAAAATGATACAATTTGAATCAACCCATCACTACTCATCGTCTTCTCTACCCAAAAATCCATTTCCAAGACCCATTTCTAGTGTTCCAACAATCTCCTTTGGCGCAAATCTGAAATTTTCGCTTTTGGTCGCCGCTTTTCTCCTAATCATCTCTCTGCCCGCTTTCTGATAGGTCAGTACTCAAGCCTTCGTCTTCCATCTCCTTCTTTAGATTTGTTTGTCTGTGTTAAGGTTTAGCAAAGGGTTTTGGTTTGATTTCCAAAAACCAATAGATCTAAAGCTATTCCAATTTTGGGCTCATTTTAGGTCCTTGTAGTCTTAGTGATAAAAGAAAGTAAAATTAGTGACAATACTAGGTAAAGTTTACGTATTTACAGTGAATGAAACTTTTGTAAAAGAGTAAATCATCCTTCATCATTATTAATCTAAACAGGAGTTAACAGGATTATATGATAAAACGCCATATGAATCGCTCGAAGTAGAAAGAATAGCAGAAAAAGAACCTTTTCTATTCCTTACATTGCTTTAGGAAAGAGGT